CCTTACAGATAGCCAAAAAGATACTGAGAGTCCCTTTAACTTCCTCTGGCTCACGCAGAATTAATTCATGGGTACTGAACAAGAATACACTTAGAGGTGGAGTTAGCCTCAATTTCATTGGTCAGCATGATGCAAAGTCAGGGATATCAGTAAGTCACTACAAGTAAAGGCCATATTTTCATAATATTGCTCATAGTTTTTGATATAGACCAAACATGTTAGCTATCATAATGATTCCCCATGCCAATGTTATAAATGATTCTACTGCATTAAATGTTTTTAGGGAGTACATTCAAATTAGCATTATTATGAGTTATGTGCTTGTTTCTCCCTGAAGTCATATGTTGAAATCCTAACCCTCATGTGACAGTTTTGGAAAGTAATGAGGTCATGAGGGTGGAATCCTCAAGAATGGGATTAGTACTTTTATAAGAAGAGACACACAGAATTCTTCCTTTTGCCTTCTGCCCTGTGAGGATGCAACAGGGCTGAAAACCAGAAAAGTGGCCCTCTTCAGACACTGGATCTACCAGCACTATAATCTTGGACTTCCCATTCTCCACAACTGTAAGAAATAAATGTTTGTTGTTTAACCCATTGGTCTATTGAAGATTTATTAAGCCAAATCTTAACAAAACCTGATAACCTTAACAAAACCTGATAAGACAAGTATCTGCCTAAATTCTTAAATCTGGTGCCAAATTGTGAACAATGGGTAATGTTACACATATAACATTTGCACATAGTTGAATTCCAATTCTTGCTTTGCAAATTCCTTTGACTGTATTATTTGTAGTACCCAAACTGTTGCAGGTAACCATTACTTTATGTTCTTGCTGTTACCTGAAACTGTTGTTTTACCCAGAAACCATTTTTCCTTTCAGTTCCTTGTAGCATAGGCTGTTTTCTCACATATCTAACTGTGAACCATGGTAGCCAGGAGCTAATACTGGTTTCCTCTTAGCTCTCTTCTGTTGATTTTAGGCTACTGTACTTCCAAAGCACTTCTCCTTACTTGTTTTGACAACTGGCTATAACACCCTCTACTTATCTTTGTGGCGGCCACCTACCTTTGGACCTCATGGGTACTCTAACACTATGGTTCTCAATGCAAATTAAAATCACCTAGAAAACTCTGGTTCCATTCTAGATCAATTAAATCAAATCTGCATGGTGTGGTGATGGTCACCAATATTCAGTTTTTTAATTTCTTAGGTGACTGCAACAAGAGCCAAGGATGAGACCTGTACTCTACCACAATAATTAAGGACATTGGCTCCTACTTCATCAGTTTACTCTATAAACCAATTTTTGCTATCACCTGGAATTTTAATGTTGAAGAGAACAAACTGTCTGATACTCTGGGTCATAGTTCCTGAACCAGCTCAATGTTATTAATGTGTCCTTAATTTCACTTCAGTTCTTATGCACACTCTATCAGTCATTACCTGGAGTACTTGATACATGAAATATTAAATAAGCAAGAGAGTTTCTGGCCTTAAACACTATAGTTGCTCCAGCTTGCTAAGTCCCTTACCGTACACTTCTGTGCCTCCACTTGGACATGGACAGCTTATTGCAAACTTGCAAGGAACCTAGCTTTCTAAGTGTGTCAATCTTCTCTTGATTCTCCACCTTCTTTAATCTGGCTGATCCTCCATGGTATATCACTCCAATGGCTCTTACCAAGGCTATCACATCTCTTACCCTCTTGTTCCTCTAACATACATACAAGTTCAAATCTTTCAAACTGAATTTACCTTTTCCACTGCTATGCCCAAGATACTGAGCACCACTGAAGAAAAAAATACAACTAGGGGGGACAGGGTGTAGTGCAGTGGTAGAGAGCTTGCCTAGCATGTATGAGACACTGGGTTTGATCCTCAGTACCACACAAAAATGAATAAATAAAATAAAGGTACTGTGTCCATATACAACCAAAAAAACTTAGGAAAAAGGAAAACATTTTTTTAAAAAATGCAACTACAGAGATTTGTGGAACCTACATTTTCATGGTATCCCAATAGCAGTTACCAGAATTACTGAGAAATCTTTTTACATTTCCCAAATGAACTCTTGTTCCTACTTTTCTTGGAGGGATTCAAATAGTCTCTTTTTAATCTCACTCTTTTGCTCCTCACATTAGATGTGGACCTTGATTTCTGTTTTGGAAAGCATAAAGATATTCTTTCTATACTTCAACTATATCAACTTATTTTCATTCTCATCCACACTTACTTGCCTTAGAAGGGTATTGCTCTAAGCTCAGCACTGCTGACATGTTTTTTTGGCAGATAATTCTTTGTTGAAGGGAGCTGTCCTCTGCACTCTAAAAGGTTTAGCAACATTATTTACGGTAGCTCCTCTGATAGCTCCATGGCTGGGGGTATCAAACTAGTATGTACAAAGGGTCTAGATTTGACTCTGAGAGGTCTCTACCTACTAGATGCCAGTAATATCCCCCTCCTTCTAGGTGAAATAACAAAAAATGTCATCAAACATTGCCAAATAATGTCTATTGGGAGGCAAAATCACCATTATGTGAGAACCACTCTTCTACGTCAAGGCTCATCTATACATCTCTTTCTGATTAAAAAACAAAACAACAACAACAAAAAACCTTCCCACTTCCTCCAAGATCACTTGTACCATTGATGTGTTTTATGGGTCTTGAACCTGTCCATTGGCTTTGTCTCCTTAGTATATAATTTTATATGTCTCTCCAATATTAAAAAAAAAAATCATTCCTGGACACCAGGTCACTCCTCCAGCCACTCTTCCAATCCTTTTTTATTCTTTTAAGTGACATGTTGAGAATGACATTCATGAGTTCCCTTGCTGAGGCACCATTCAATTTTTAATTTACCCTTAATCCTCATTACTGCACTGATACTGGTGCAAAGCTACTAGGATCCTTTTGATTACCAAATGCTTAGGTAACTTTCCTGCTTGGCTACTTATGACTATATTCTCCTTGAACTTTTCTCTCCTAGCTTTTCATTCTTTAACTATTTTTTAAAATATTTTTTTCTTAATATTTCCTTTTTTTTTTTTGGACTTCCTTAATACTAGTGTTCAATTGGGTTTTATTCTTGGCTGTCTGTTAGAACTTGACAACACTCTTCTGAGCTACAGTCTCTGTTACAAGCTTCTATCTACTGATATAATACAATGAATACACTAATTTCTCTTCATCTAATTTTGAATCTCAATCCTCTCTCAAAATTCAATCCTGCATTTCTGACCCTTGATGAATACTTCTATCAGGGAGCACTATAGACACTAATAAATTGAGATGTCTAAAACTGAGCTTATCTCCTACTACTCACCATCCCTTGTCTCTATCTCCCCAAATCTTCCTAGTCACTTCATAATTCCTACAGTACCACCATCTATTCAGCTGTATAATAAGCTAGGGTTCTTAGAAAAATCCAACATTCCTTCATTAATCATATTCACTGAACCATAAAATTCTGCCAATTATACCTTATTTCCGTATTCCTCTATCCCCACTAGTTCAGCATTGCACATTTTATTTCTATGGATTCCTAGTTTCCTTGCACTAGGTCTTATCCAAATACTATTCTGTCACTAGAACAATTCCTACCCCCGCCCCCAGTGCTATAGATCCAACCCAGGGATTCACACAGGTAAGCGCTCTGCCACTGAGCTACATGCGGCAGGCCCTAAAATGATCTCTTTAACATGCAAATCCTTACAAACCACTCCCTGAGTTATCTCTTTCAAGGAATTCCCTTTGGAGAATAAAATTAAAGCATTTTAGCACAATACAATAAGCTCTCAATGGCCTGGTTCCTGCATTTCTCTTCTCTCTCCATTAGATACATGTTCCATGTTCCCCAGACCTAATCATTAAAAATCATCATGGAAGTAAGGTATGTGCAAAAAAAAAATTTTTTTTTTTACCCTCAAATGTGTTTTCTAAGTTCATCTACATAGAATATAGTTTTTCATCCTAAAAGCCTCAAGTCAAGCACTTGAACTCGCATTGTGCACACAGTCTCATTACAGTTCCCAGTCTGTTGGAATTTCTTGCTCACTCATGTCTCACCCACTTGCCTGAAGGGCAAGTGTCTTGTCTACTCACTCCTGTTTTGGTGGGGACTAAAAATATTTGTCCTGGAAGTAGGAGCTCAATAAATACAGGTTAAATGGCTGAATGGTACATGACAGGTTCAAAAGAACTTTATCATGATATTGTAATGTTATGTTTCTTGACCAATATTTGTTTTAAAAAAAAAAGTACATGTCAGTTCACCAGAGTTAAGAAATAGCGAGGCTACTCAATCAAGAGCTACTGTCACTTAGGCAAGAGCTACCATCACTTAATAAAACAAGTTTAATATATATATATAATGGTACAGTGCTTGTTAAACCTTTCACTGAAGTATAACTAACATCGAAAGAAGAGTGACTGATGTCTCTGAGGAATCTGATGGCACAGACAAAACAAAACAACAACAACAAAAAAGAAATAACCCACATTTCTATGGCTGATAATATATCCACATTCATTTTAACTTGAAAGTGTTTTAGATTACTGGAAAGTAAAAGAAATACTCCATAAAGACAGAACACATTTATTGTGTGGACTCCAGTGACCTTTAGCATAAATGTGTACCTCCCAGGTGGAGCTGAGAGTAGCACCAATTATCAAATTTGAAGAAACAAATATAGAGTGGAAATAGCATCACACTTAATGTCACAAGTTCTACTTTGGGGTCTCGTCCTATCACTTAGACCATGACTTGGGGTGTGGGGGGGTCTACTTTATTTTCTCTGAGCCTCCTCAGTTTCCTTATCTGGAAAATGGCTATAACAACATTTGTCTTATGTATTTCATAATGTTGGTGCCAAGATCAAAAGAAATAATGTAAACAATGAAGGATTATAAGCATGAAAATATAGAAACATTTTATGCATAGAGAGTGAAAAAATTAACATACATATACAATACTTGAATTCTTTAAAACAATTACCTTTTGAGGAGCTGAAAGCTTTTCTGTTTTGGTTTTTTCCTTGGGGGTTAAAGGAGGGGAGCGCTCCTTTATCTCTGGAGGCAGTTCTTGATATAGTGCTGGAAGTGAAAAAGGAATTTATGTATTTATATTGAGAAGCACTATTTGGGGGAGGGTTATAGTAACAGAGGAAGCATATATGAAATTAAAGAGCAATTAATGTTCAATTCCTTGGTATAGCAACACGCTATATAGCACTTATTCATGATGGAAATTTGTTGTCTTAAACATTAATTATTATTGGACAATTTTAATCAGCAGGATTTCAGAAACGTAGATGGTACCATTCTCACTTACTATATGGTAAGAGAGATGCTTACTTCATTTTATCTCAATCCCCAATCACCAGGAACCTACTGTAAGCAAGGTTGTCTGCTAGGTACTGCTGGAGATAGAAAGATGATCAAAAGACAGTTTTTGCTATCAAGGAGCTTATAATCTGGTCAGGGACAGACATGTTCACAAGTAACTACAATATAAGATACAATGTGGTATTACTTGAAAGAGAATAACAACAAAACAAAGTAATGTGGGGATGAAAAAATGCTGAAAGGAAGATGTGGGAGTGTGATGGACTTTGAGTAGGCAGGTTTCACCAGGCAGAGGTACAGGAAAAGGATAATTTGGGAAGATAGAATTCATTTCATTAATGAAGAAGCATGGTTCCAGGACTATCATGATGTTGAATCTATACAGTGTTGAACTTTAGAGTTTTAAATATACTACTCTACTCTATATGATCTATTAAATCTATACAGGATATTAAACCTACAGAGCTATATAGGAATTTTAAAGACTTAAAACAAAACTCTATTTTGGTTAAAAGCAACTCTGAAGTGAAAGAAAATGCTAAACTATATTTGATCAAAAATGTACAACTAAGATTGTAAGATATATTAGCTGGCTTTAGATATGGGTTGGTATTATTATTGGGTTTCTTTATCTCTTACAGAAAAGAGTGTTAGATGTGATTAAGGGAAGCTGATCTTGTTCTTCTTTCCAGTGACTTAAGATACAAAGAGAGTAAGTCCTTTACAATAATGGGGTACCATTTTCTGTCATTGTGCTGTTCTCTTAAAGAACATGGTTCTCAATTGAACAGCAGGTATAGATTCTGTTAATATATATACTCCTTTAGATCATTTGTTTTGCATATTTGGCTTCAGATAAAGATCAGGAATAATTCCTCTTACTATTTTTAGAGTGGAATATGCTGCTGAGAAACATTTTTTTTCCCTTGAGTGTAAAAACCAGGCAGTTCAGTTTTTGTTAAATTCAAGTAAAAAGCAGGATAAAAGGGAAAAGAAAATTCTCTTCTGATGAAGTATGAGAACTCAATTATTATATTCTTGGGTAGTCTGAAAGTTTTCTTCCCTGTTTGTTCTGGCCTTTACAGTGCTCATCCAAGAAGCAATGACCGATGCCAAAACAAAAAAAACCCCCAAAACCCAAAAAACAAAAACTCCACCATCAATTATTCTGGGACATAATAAGGAGTTTTATCAGTTGCAGAATGGTCTCAAGATAAGAAATTAATTCTGTGTACAACCACCAACCATCATTGTAATATGTTTCAGAGATTTGACTTGATTATTATGAAAGAAAAACAAATTTTATAACTCACTGTAGATCAAATATCTATAACCTGTCAGGACTTGCAAGCCTAAGAGTTATTTCTATAAACTGAAGTTAAAACACCTAATACCACCATCCCCCAAAGGCACACAATCTTCATATATTTCCAGATGAAAAAAAAGGTGTAGATGTTTTCACTTGAATCTTACAGGAACAATGGATTGTAAGACCTAGTTAAAATTACCAAATCCTCCAGAGTAGTTATGATTGTGTGGCAGCTCTTGATTTTTAGCTACCCCTTTTTAACCTTGGCTGTTGATTCTGTGCAAGAGCCATCACTGGAAAGGAGAGAAAGGCTAGCATGGATATTTTTACATTCTGAAAGTTAGAAATACTGAGCTTTTGGGAGATGACTTAAATGCTATCTTACATGTACTCAGGAATTAGCTTGTCCTAACATTTCTCCCTTCCTCTCAGATCATTTTAAGTTTTCTCCATTATGTATTTTAAACATAAAAATATACCTCTAGGAAAAGTATATTTAAGAGGTATCAGTCATTTGTTATTTAGGAAAAAATAATTAAAACAGTGGCACAGAAAAAATTATGAATTATGTTGCAAGAGAGAGAAGTAGGTAATTTGGATATATATATCTTTTTAAAGGGAAGGAGTTTGCTGAAGGCAGCAGATAAGCTGGGGAAAGGATCTGCAATGAGACTGGGGGCCACTTGAGAAAATGGGGAGAGGGGCATGGGGAAGGAGGGCACAGACACAGTACTATCAAGGTGCCAAAGATAGTTTTATCTAGAATTAGACCAGCACTCACTAATTAAGGAGGAAACAAATTCTTCTTCCTCCCATCTGTTTTGCTCTCAAAATTCAGAACTTAGGTTAGGAATCAATAGTACCTTTGTTCAGTCATGGTTTGAGTTAGATGGGGTTTCATAGACTAGCCTGAAAACCAACCATTATTTATAACAATTACTTCTTTGTGGTAACAAAAGACTTAACAAAAAATATTTAAACAGAGTGTTCTCAATTTACTACATTTTAAATCAAAATCATATGATTTTAGTGTTTCTGGAAGAAAATTAGAATTGATATAGCTCAATGTCTTTCTTTCACAGGAGGAAACTGAGGCACCTCATTGTAACTTTTTTTTTTACCTCATTGTAACTTGCTGAGCTAGGATTAGAAGGCAATCTTCATGGTCCCTGGCAATTGTGCTTTCTCCACACTGCAAGTTAACTACTGATAGGAAGAATTCTTTTGAAGAAGTATTACCATAATTTTTTCCTTTTTAAAAAAATTATTTCCTTTATTTTCAGGCTTTGTTAGTTCTATTTTCACCTCTCAAGGCCTGGCTGTGAATCTACAGCGTTCAGAATTCATATTTAGAATTTCTTTTCTAGTTGATTTTTTTCCTTTCACAAGCGAAGGCTTAATATACTTGAGATGGAACAATCTATTGTACTTTTGTTTTAGCAGGTGACCAGTTAGGACTGAAGTGTGCAAAGTGGGAGTTGGGGAACTAAGGGTTCTTAGGATGCTCATCAGCTGAGGAGTCACTGTGGAGAGAGAAGAGGTGATGAAAATGTTTGTAGTTGGTGGCAGGGTAAAAGGAACTAAGGGAGAAAGCTGAAGTCACAGGGCAAGTCCCCTGGGATGACAAGTACAATCAGCAAACATTCCAGTTGCAGAATACAGTAGTTTGAGGGCATGCTAGTGCCTCCTCTTTTTGTTTTTTTACATCATGAGTATGAAAAGAAAAACCCATTGGTAAACATGCAAAGATTACAAAGACAGTAAATTAAAGGGTAAAAAATGATAAGATCTTGGACTATCAGTTAGACCATATTAGTAAACCAGGAAGGGAGCATAAAACTTACTTTCACTAGCCACATGATTAGCTGGAAAATAACCTTCCTGTCCCTTTCCTACGCTGCCATACCACCAGTCTTCATTATCTTTGAAAAACACTCGGATAATGTCTCCGCGATGGATGGTTAGTTCATCTGATCGGCTCGCTGTATAGTCATAAAGAGCCACTACCTAAGAGAGAGATAAGACCACCACAGCTTTATCACAACTGTGCCACAGAGAAACCCCCAACACTCACTTCCTGTTGCAGTAGAGCAGCTGAAACCAAAGCAGTACTTGGGTAAGTCTGAGGCTGTCTCAGGGTTTGCTAATGGAACCAGGGGTGGTGGGAAGACAGCAGGAGCAACAAGATAAAAGACTGTGGGACTGAGAAATGGTTAAGAACATTCAACACACTAAGATTAGCTTCAAAATAGCAGATGTTAATTTTTTAAAGTAAATTACTTGAGAAGCAAATACAAAAAAGCTCACACGCCATTCACTTTCTTAGAAGTGTTTTATACTACACCTTTAGATCCTGTTCTCTGTGTAAGCAGATGCACCTGAAAGAAAATTCTCCAGAAGGTTAACAGTTTCACAAAAAGGAAAAGCTCAATGGAATAATCTGATTGTACAACTTCATTGTGATAACTAGTTTATTGTTAATGTCTCTTTTTGAGATAAGTTTCTCTAGAAACACATAGTTTTTGGTGTTTTTTGTAAACAATCTAAATCTTCTGACTATCTTTGAAAATATCCTCTAAGCTTACTTTCACTTTCACTAGGTCCAAATTTAAAAGAAAAGGGCTTTTTGTGTTTTATAGTAATCATTATATATATATATATACATATATACATATATACATATATATATATATATATATATATACACACACACACACACACACACCCTTTTGAAAAACTCAAGTCAAAAGGTATGGAAGTGGCTGCATAAGCATTTAAAAATCCCTCATAGCAGTTAAAGGAAGGGAGATTTTAATCTGTATTAGATCTGAAGTATTGTATAAAGTAAGACATAATAATAAGTATTCCGAAGAATACACTTATTGTACTGTTTTTTTTCCCCTCTACTTTAAAAGGGTTTGAAAATGTACAGGTTACACAACTTTATTGAAATGGAAAAAAATCATTGTAATCCTTTGCAAGTAGATTGAGTGCTGATTCATTCACTTAACAACTACTGAAATCCTAATGTGCCTGGTGCTATATTAAGTACACATGGTAAATAGATATCTTGTAGATATTTCTACAAGAGATATTTGATTAAGACTTTGCAGGAAAACTAAAGGATAATCAGGAATTAGCCAGGTACAGAGGGAAAGTGTATCTCAGTCAGATTATACCACATGTATAACAGTCCCGTAAAAAGAAACTCAAAATAGTTCAGTATAAGGGGAGCCAAGCATTGTGGGTGAGAGCCAAGAGAGCAGGGTTGGGGAAGTTAGGGTAACGGAGGAAGTAGGGGTCAGATCATGCATGGTGAAGGAATTCAGACTCAATAATATGGCCAATGGAAAGATGGAAGGGTTTTCAGCAGAGGATTCTATTAGTGTTTACAAAACAGTTCTGGTACCTTTAAACATATTCAGTAAGATTTATTAACATATCAACAGGCAATTTTAATGTATCATGTTTGGAATTAACTTGTCACTATATGGTAAAGGGCAGTAACAATAATCTAAATGGTTCAAATGCAACGCCTATTATACTGCCTAGCATAGTACTTAATTTACAACATGCAGTGCAGGATGTTAAGGTTTATAAATTTCTTATGTTGACGCTAAACCACTTATGTAAAAGTAGAAACTTTAATTTCCCCCTTTTTCTTCTTTCTCCAGACATTGTCTTCTTCATTCTCCTACTTGGCACTATCATGGAAGAGAAAAACTAATTAAATACAATTGTATGTCTACCATGTTCTGGACAGCATAGTAGATACTTGTGTGTTACATTACTGAGCCTACATGAAAATGCTGTGAGGGCAGATATTCTTATTTTCATTGGACATATGAGGAATTTGATGTACAAATAATTTAATAACTGGTAAATTAAGGTCAAATAAACTAGCAAGTCAAATAAACTAGTCAGTGGTAGGATCAGAACTTATAACCTAGATTTTTCTTTTTCTTTGTTTTCAGAAGACCAAACACATTTATAGGCCATCTTTGTCTAGAATCATCTACGGGGAGAAAGAAGCAAAGAGGAAAGGAGGTTAAAATACATTTCTGGATAGCGGCACATAAGGAGTTTCCTATGCCAAGAACACCAAGTGTCCTGGATCACCTGCAGGCCCATTGTGCCCCTTTCATGATGCACAAAACCCCAATCTCAGGAAACTCTATAATGGTTTGTTCCTATTGTTCCTCATCCCAGTTCTGCCACACCGAGATACCACAACCTTAATGAGTCTTACTTATGCAAAGACAAGATCAATGTATGCTTATTTATTTGAGTCCTAGTTGACTATTGAAAAGGCAGTCAGTGTATGCATTAGAATCACTTAGGAAGCCTCACATCAGGCTTGTCCCTGTGTGGACTACTAGCAATCTGGAGCTCTTCAAACTGAAGTTTGGAAAATCTTACTGGATTTTCCATGAGGGTCTGTTCATTAAAGAATCCCTTCAGAGTTACAAGGGTCCATAAGACCTTGTATAAGATCCCACACTACATTTTTCCTATTACAGTATCCACTGATTACTGTATCCTCTTCTTAAATAACGAAATATAGCACGTCAAGTCACATGGCCTGCTACTACTTATCAATATGTTCTATACTCTATGAATGTTATGGACTGAATTATGCCCTCAAAATTCTTAGGTTGAAACCATAACACCCAATGTGACTGTATTTGAACATACGACCTTTAAGGAAGCAATTATGGTTGAATGAGGTCATAAGGGTAAATCCCTCATCAATAGGACTAGTGTTTTTATAAGTAAAGAAAGAGACACCAGGAGCATATATGACAGGGAAAAAAGGCCATGTGAGGATATAATGAGAAGGTGACTGTCTACAAACCAAGACAGGCCTCAGGAGAAGTCAATACTGTCAGCATCTTGATCTTGGACTTCTAGCTCCAAGACTGTGAGAAAGAAAATTTCTATTGTTTAAGTCATCCAGTCTATGGTGTTTGGGGGTACGGTAGCCCCAAGCAGACTAGTGCAGTCCCACAAACTAATGGTAATAGATGAATTCCTGACCATCATCCTGTCTTGGAACTACAAATATCCTGATGTGGAAACAATACTTTTGTCATCAAACCCCACAACCAGCAATCTTGGGAGGGTGATGGGAGGTAAGGACACATTCTCTAGAATACTAGAAAAATCTGTGGAGCGTGTCTCCATCATACCTTTATTGATATTTAAGTATGGAACTGCTACACAACAAGGAATCAGCATTAATGTGCCAGTCATCCATATTTTGGCACTGTGATTTGACCATTTGGCTATGACTATTTTCTTAACATACCAGAAACATAAGACAAAAAACACATGGCTTGAAAATCTGCTTGTGTTCTAGTGTGTGTTTCTATGCACTGTGCTTTTATCTTCTTGTGTGAAAACCACTTGTTCTTTTCTGATAGTCATATTTTACATAGCAAACTTCATTATTTGTCTTAATTTGGCAGTAGATTCTGTATAAATCATGACCTTTCCATCTATAATTAGATTTTATTATGTTTCTGATACTGTAAAACTCTTTTTAAAAAGTTGGGAAGCATAGTCCCATCAAGCGGTTTGTTTTTGAATTAACGCTAGCTTTATCTTGTCCTTGTTCTGTCAAGCCTTACTACAGAAAATGTCTTGGCCATTCTCCTGATAAGTATGTTCTGTAATGTACCATTTCTTCCCCATAGTGGTTGGCATGTCGGTAGGACAGAATTATCCTCAGCAATATGATCTTCCTCTTGAGCTGACAAGATAGTTTTGAAATCATTCTGTGCAAAAGTTTAAACACATGAGCTAATATGTCCACGTCAGTAATAACAGAACTGGGAAATGAGATATTTCACAAAATCCACTTTGTTTACATACAGAGATCCTTGATTTATATTAGGATTATATTCTAATAAGCCCATAAATTGAAAATATATTTAACACCTAATCTATCAAACATCATTGCTTACCCTACTCTACCTTAAATGGACTAAAGCATAATTACATTAACCTAAAGTTGGGAAAAATCATCTAACATAAGACCTATTTTATAACAAAATCTTGAATATCTTAAGTAATATATTAAATATTGTACTGAAAGCAAAAAACAAAATAGTCATATGGGTACTGTTTCAACACCATCCTAAAGTTAAACCATTCTAATTGGGGACTATATGTGCTTGGATTCTCTTTCTTAAAGCCAAGTTGCAAGAACACAATCATGGCTAAGTGCTTCCTTGTCCTTCTACCCTATGAAGATACAGAGAAGAGGTGTCATCTGTAACTAGGAAACTGACCCTCACTAGACATAGAATCTGCTAGCACCCTGATCTCGGAATTCCTAGCCTCTAAAACTGTAGGAAGTTTCTGTTGTTTATAAGTCACTTGGTCTATGGTATTTTGTTACAGTAGCTCAAATATAATTGGTACCAATTAAACCTTTTCTTACTAGATATCACAACTCACATACTTTGTTATAGTGAATCTTCACTGTTTTATTGAAAAGGTTCTAATAAAAATTTTATTTTTTATTGTAGATTAGTGGGGTTTACTGTGATATTCCATATATGCCTATATCATGATTTAATCATGTACATGCAGCCTTCTTTACCCTTGCTCTCCTTCCCAATCCCTAGTCATCCCTCTTCTCGTTTAAGGTTAACTTTTTTTACTCATTGTTTCTTTTAGTTTCCACATATTCTTAAGAATACTTAACTTTCTGTACTGGTTTATTATGTTTAATGTGATGTCTTGATGTTTCCCTGATATTGCTCAGGGAGTAGGGTGGGGTCATGTTGGGCACCTTGATCTCGGAATTCCTAGCCTCTAAAACTGTAAGAAGTTTCTGTATCATTCATTTTACTGCAAACAACAGAATTTCACTCTTTTTATGGCTAGATAATACTTCAGTGTGTGTGTCTGTGTGTACACATACACATATCTCTACTCCTATGTATCTATTTATATCACATTTTCTTTATTCATTCATCTGTTGATAGGTAGCTAAGTTG